AATATTTGTTTTATTATTCTTCATAATATTATAAGATATTCAAACTTAGAGTTCTATTAAAATTATCATAACCAGGTCGACCTTTTTCCTTGTGCTTGACTTATGAAGAACTAAAGTTTTGTCGATCGCACATGATCTTCTTTATCAACAAACTCAAGAAGTTTCTGCAAATGAGACAAGGGATTTGACGAGGATGTATAGCACTAAAAAATATTCTATATCTATTGAAAGGAAAAAAACCGAAATAGTCAGTCGAAAGGAAAAAAAAGACCATATTATTTTAGAAAATCATTCGCTATTTAATGAATGTTAAGCCTGTATAGATTTTTCTCAGTCTATCAAATCTATACAATAGCTAAGATAATATGGCATAAGCTATAATGCTATCTAAATAACTATGATAGCGTTTAAATAGTAGTATATTTTAAATATCACTTGAATTCAACATTTATGATGATGCTATAAAAGCGCTACACTTTGAACAGCCATTCTGGGTTTAAAAAACATGTGAAGTTATTTAACTAGATATTGTGACGATCTATGCGAAGAGTGTCCAAACTTCATCTAGGGGTGTAACAATTCAAGAAAACACTCCCTGTTATATTGTTATATCCTTATTTTTCTGTCTTTACTTCTTACAATATGTTGTAGTTAGTCCGTATCTCATTCCTCTTACTTTCTGTCATTATTGTCATTTCCTTCTATATTTTCTCTTCTCTCTCATGGTCGAGTATATAAGTATATGTTTTGTATGTAAACAATGCGATTATTGATATGAAGAAGCTCAATAAAGCATAATTTCATCGATGCAATCATCTCTTCTATCCAAAATCGTCACAGGTATATGTTTGATCGAAGAGCTGTATTTTTTTAAAAATAACTGTACAAATCTTTAAACAGCTGTTCAACTTCGCATATCTATACAACTTTGAAAATAGTTATCATAGCCTTTAAATAGTTATACGATTCATTAAATAGTTGTACGACTGTTTAAATAGCTATAAGAATGTCTTAATAGACGAATACATAATTAAAAAGTATCTCTTTTGAGAAGCTACGTATTTATATATGTTTGACTATGAAGCCAATCGAATTGATGAAGTCAAAAAAGATTTCATCGTATATCATTTAACCACATTGAACTACATTCACACGTCGCTACATATCCCCTCGGAAAAGAAATAGTTTCAGTCAGTATTTCTCATATATTGTCACTATAAAAACACATTTTTTTAAAAACTAACTACATATTCTGAAAGCCCGTGAAGTTTTCTATCATCCTCTGTTTATATATATATACATTCATTTGCACTTATGTATTACCAAAAATAATTGACTACAATGAAGACACCATTATGTCCATGCTTCCATAGACTTGACTTTGTCTTTGTCATCAAAACTAGTTTTTAAAATTTTTCATCACTATAGAATGACCTTTTTGAAAAAGCTATAATAGATTCTGATAGAGCTTGAAATTCTCTATCACCCTATCTATTTACTTCTTTTCTTCCATTCATATATTGAAAAACATTTTGAATACAATGAATATACTCTGAATCGACAAGTACCAAAAATCTGCATTTTTTTTGCTTTTTTTGATATTTTTAAAATTATTATTCCAAAACAATAAATTATAGAACAGAGCATATACCATTCGATAGCGCATGGAATACCCTATCATTCTACGTATAGTTATATTGTTCTGAATTTCGTTTTCTATTGTTTAATAAAGCACGGCCACGTTCTTCTTGTTCGATAACATTATTTGTTTCATGAAATAATCGTAAAATATTAAAAACAATTCGACTTGTACCATTAATCATAGAAGCTATTTCATTCGGAGTTATACCTTGATCTAAATGTAACGAAATAATTCGCCATCGACCGCCTACAGATATATGATCACTCATGATTAATGAATCGCATTCAATGTAAAGCAAAAAAATCAGTCAAAATGTGTTTAACTAACGTTTTAATGACTTTATCCACTCAAGCGGACGTGTTACA